TAAATAGAATGGTCTGGAAACACGCTATGTAAACCTTTCTCGCTACAGCAATTGATACTGATCATTCCTGAAGTTTGGATGAAAATGAAAAAGTAGTTTTTGACGAGTAGTCCTGACAATTTTCGTGACGGACATACAGAAAGACATACGGACAGAACTCAGACGACGGAGAAGTGATACCTATATGTCATGGATATTTTATAATGTGTAAGGTTTTGTGTAGCAGGCGACACAAAAATCATTATTGGGCCATAACTCAACAAAAATAAATAAATCAACCGGAAAACCCGGCCAATCCTGTAAAGTTTCATAAAAATGCATAAAAGTGGTATAAGAGAAATGGTTTCGGAAAAACTATAATTATAAAATTCATTAAAGGGCCATAAATCTGACCAATATCATTGAACTGTAACATGTTGACGATATGCACAACTTGTCTTGGTCCTGATCATTTCTGTAAAGTTTGGATGAAATTGTACCTGTAGTTTTTTAGGAGTAGTCCGGATAAGTTTTTTGACGGACAGACAGACAGACGACGGAAAAGTTATCCCTTTATTTTACCACAACTCTGCAGCAAGCGACACAAAAATGAACTCAACATAAACTGATAAAAACTAATGTGAACTTCAGTCTTTGAATTCATAAAATTCAAATTAAAAATAGATTAAATCAAACCTTCGAACTGGTTCCAAAATCAAATTTTACTTTAAAAAAATTGATATTTGATCTTTGAACAAGCTCAAAATTCAATTATAGCTCGGAATTTAGCTAATAATAACAATAAAAATTTGCTCGGAATTCAAAGTTAGCTCTAAGTTCGCTATAAATTGAATATCAGTTTTCGAGGTCAGTGTACATTTAGAATATTTTTTTTAGATTTCACTGATAAAAACAAAACAAAAACAACATAAAAAAGAAACACACCCAAAAACATCAACAACAACCATAAAAAATCCCCGAAAACACTTAACTGTTATTAGTGCTTACCTCACTTCCTCGGTTTTGGGACCTGTTTCTCTGCCACGGTCTTTGGTTGCGCTGTCCGAAACACTGTCCGACTAACAGCATGGTTGCAAGTACCAATGTTAAAATACACACTGTTCTTACAGAAGGCATTATCCTGTTTGTTTATTTTATAATTCTTAAACAAAAAATCTTATTTAATATAGTTAAAGTTATATATTTTTCTAACTTTTAAACTGATTACGTTAAATACTTGGCGAAATATAAAACATAAACATCTGTTTTCAGTTATTTCTGTACAAATGCAACATGTAAACAAGAATGTTTTTGCCAACTTTACGCTATAGATGCAGATTTCCGTGCATCAAGTGCAATCTACAAATTTTAATGCATTGAATGGAATTTGGTCTTAGGCATACTTTTTACGAGGCAAGCATTAACAATGGAAACAATTAGATTTGAGTTATCTGTGCCTTGAATTTAAACATTTTGGTTTTTTCATGGACAGATTGTTCTTAATTCTAGAAGTCAATGCCATTTTTTCTGTTTTTGATGTAGCTGACTACCTTTCATGTGACCGTAACCAATGATAATAAAAAAAATAACTCCACAGTTAAAATAAGGTTTGATGTAAGGTATATGAATTATCTGCCCTTGAAATGACCTCAAATTGCAAGAAAACAAATGATAAGATTGTCAAGGGCAGATAACACGTAAACGAACTCTGTAACCTAATATTGCGATGCAAGATTATACTAAATTCTATCATACATATCCATTCTGTCGATACATGTTTATCTATATGTAAGTATAGCATACTGCTTTCATGAAATTCGTCAGGATGTGAAAAGGTGTTTATTCTTATTTCGACCGTTCTATTTCCATAAAATCACCAATGTTAAAGTGAAATTCGAGTGAGTAAAATCCATGCATATTATCTCGTTACATAGGGAAAAAAAGCGATTTTTAATGTCTAATATGATTTGTGTTTTCTTTAACATCACTTTATCAACACTGTCTAGACAAACCAGTTCCATTATTGGGTCGGGTGGCGCGTATTAATTTGCTGCAGACTTTTTACAACGTCCAAAATAGTGCCTCATTAGTGTTGCTTCAGCATGAGGAAAACAGAAAAATGAGTTAACTGGTTTCCGTTGTTTTTAGCCACAACGACTTGTAAATAGGTACAATAATCAGATCAGATATAAAACGACTATACTACAGCATTTTGCCATCTGATAATAGATATACTGTATATCGTTTTTTTCTAAACATAATTTTTCCATAATTAAATTGTTTTGGAATACTTTGATTGTTAATTTGCTGAACATTCAAGTCTTTAAAATGTGTGTTGATACTGTCTGAGTAAATGGTAAATTATTTATATAATATTGGACGTGATTAAAAAGAAAATTTTTTTTTTGTAAAAGATGCAATTATAACAGGGAAATTTAGTTAACACGTTCATTTCTCAGTCGGTGTTTTCATTATGAGAATTTCTACGCTAAATTTTGAATTGTGTCTTGAATTGTAGCCGAGGTCAGCTATTCAAATTCCAAATAAGGATTGGGAGATGACCTGGCGTGTAAGATAGGTATACAAATACTGCAAAAGGTGTAAAGTAAGATTATACTTCATATTATTTTGAAAGAAAAACAAAACTAAACACATACTAGTTTCCGTTCTTATCTGGGCAACATTTTTCATATCTTTTACACCGAATTGATGCAAAAGATGTAAAGTATTGCAATGAGTACCGAACACTTGAAAACATGTGGCCTTAGGTAATAACTCACTTGCCTAGCAAATATGTCTATTTTCCCGCCACTGTTTTCTAAAGTAGGAATCCATGTGAAATAGTAACCTTTTTTTATAAAATTAGAATTCTTAATCTTACAGGCGCTAACCATGTTTTCACCTGCTATCTCTTTAATATGGTCAAATATTTAACTTTCCTGTTACGTCGACGTTTAAATGCATTACATTTATTATGCTCCCCGAAAAATTTCGGGGGAGCATATAGTCGTCGGGTTGTCCGTCCGTCCGTCCGTCAGTCCTTCCTTCCGTAAGTACGTACGGACGTCCCGAATTCGTGTTCGGCCCATAACTTTGTTATTAGAAGTCGGATTTTACAACTATTTCACAGAAATGATCACCATATTGAGACGACGTGTCGCGCGCAACATGTCGGTCGCTACCTTGAAGGTCAAGGTCACAGCATGACCTTGCAGCAAAATCGTGTCCGGACCATAACTTCTTTATCTGAAGTCAGATTTTTCAATTATTTAACAAAAATGATCACCATATTGAGACGATGTGTCGAGCGCAACATTTGGGTCGCTAGCTTGAAGGTCAAGGTCAAAGCATGACCTTGCAACAAAATCGTGTCTGGCCCATAACTTTGTTATTTGGAGTCGGATTTTACAACTATTTCACAGAAATGATCATCATATTGTGTCGACATGTCGCGCGCAAATTGTGGTCGCTACCTTGAAGGTCAAGGTCACAGCATGACCTTGCAGCAAAATCGTGTCCGGCCAATAACTTTGTTATTTGAAGTTGGATTTTACAACTATTTCACAGAAATGATCACTATATTGAGACGACTTGTCACGCGCAACATTTGGGTCGCTACCTTGAAGGTCAAGGTCACAGCATGACCTTGCAGCAAAATCGTGTCTGGCCCATAACTTTGTTATTTGAAGTTGTATTTTACAACTATTTCACAGAAATGATCACCATATTTAGACAACGTGTCGCGCGCAACATTTGGATCGCTACCTTGAAGGCCAAGGTCACAGCATGACCTTGCAGCAAAATCGTTCCCGGCCTATAACTTTTTTATTTGAAGTTGGATTTTACAATTATTTCACAGAAATGATCAGCGTATTGAGATGACGTGTAGCGCACAACATTTGGGTTGTTTTTTCACTTTGAACTTTGTCTGTGACACAACCCTAACACTACAAGAGGTATACCTTCCTGTGTCCAAAACCTATTCGGGGAGTATCACCCGGTTCAACCGGCTATTGTTATGAATAGTATGAACATTTTTTGAGTCCTCTCACTCGTTTTTCTAAAAGAATTGTTTTTTTATATAAAAAATTCGAACAAGTTTAAAGGCAAATTATGCCTCAGAATCAAATAAAGGTAAGGACAAACATGAATCTTATAATTTCTAAATAATGGTTCTAGAACATTTTAGATGCTTGTTACCTTAAGAAAGTAACGCTGAATCTGAAATAATTTGTCAAAGAAGTAGCAAAATGTGATCAAAGTAGTATTTTAACTGCCGTACAAAATCACATAACTATTGCCAAAAAGCAACGTTGAGGCAATTGGCCAATGAACAACTTTTTGAAAACTTTAGAGGTACACAAAATTTTAAAAAACACTTTTGTGAAGTAAAGGTAAAGCTATTTTCGGGGCATAATGGGCATTGAAAGGGTCTGAACAAAAAAGTGAAAGAAGAGAAAATATCATGATAAGAATGACATCAATTACAATAATTGTTAAGACAAACAAAAACGTGTAAATCTGAAATAATTTGAAAGAAACAACAACAACAAATTTATGCTGATTATAATTTAATTCACTAACTTATTACAGCGACATCAGCCTCAAATTACAAGATTTAGAAACAATGCCGGCAGCTAAAAATGTACATGAAAATTTACATTGACAAAATTAAGATGTCAATGGCAATACAATCCAATATGTAGTTGTTTTTTTCTTTTTAAAACGGTAGCTGATTTCAAATTAATTTAAAATAAAGGGAGAAACTTATGAACACCCACTTTTTCGTCTACATACACATTATTTTATGTAACGGGATCTCATTTGAATATATGCAAAGTAGTTAAAATAATTTCAACATCAGATTTAATACAAATGGGTTTAAATTTAAATTATTTTTTCAATGTGAAATCAAGCCTAATGTTTAGTTTTTTTCTTGAAACAAAATTTTTTAGTTTATTTGTCATAAACTTTTTAACGATTACTCATTTTCACAAATGATAAACAACATATTATTGTCATTTCGAATTTACTCTTTTTATTTTGAACACTAAAGTTGTTGTCCTGTGCAAGTTGAGTATATCTTGCTCACATATTTCGTCTGTCTCAGTTAGACGCAAGAGAGTTTTCAGGATATATCAGCATCGGATCTCCATTACAATGACAGATGTATATATTATGATACAATATCTAATGTGTTACCATCACATCAAGGCCAACGTTGATGTCAGAAATAGTTTACCTGAATATGTTTCATACCCGTCAATATGTTACAAATGAAATAAATTATGCACAAATAACATTCATTGTGTTGTGGCGTCACCCTCTGCCGCCTCTGCGTCATCCGAACTTGTTTGCGTTGCCTCGGCCTGGCTCAGACGCTGCCGTCGTTCCAGCGATTCTCTCTCTGCTAAAATAACCTGACATTCTTCACTTTGTACATCCAGGTACATTCCTGACTGGCAAACTGCCAGGCGCATTGCTCCACCTAGTCTTACACATCTCCCCCCTATACGCTCAATCTGAAAAAAAGTTAATTCACGTCATATGGGCAATATTTTACATAAACAAAACATGATGACCCTTTCAGATAAATATGATAAAGGAAATTTCAAAACACAAAAACCAATTGTCAATATACTAAATATTGCATATCCACTATATTATCAAATAATAGAGTTGCAAACTAAACTGAGCCAAATGCGTTTCTTATTCCGATTCGATATTAAGTTATTATACCGGTAGGTTATAACCATACATTTTAATAGACGACAGTTCATTTAAAGTTGTGGAAGGAAAGCAGATGATTTATGGATATTACTAAACCATATAATCAAACACTTACCACTTCGACCTCAATGTTACAGTCTATATCCTCCATTCTTGGTATGTCTGGAATAAATGGTCGAACCCACTCTGTCGAATTATCTAGAGTTCCCTGGTCAGTCATATGATTATTACGTAATGCTTCAAACCGATTCTGTAAAAAATAGAATCTAGATAATTAAGTTTTTGAAAACTTCGAAGTTTAGATGTTGAGTGCCAGCAAAACATGGGCGTCAAAGGGGCATGTGACGTAACAAAACTTTACAAATGAGACAAACCCGTTACATTTTCATTCATTTTTATTCGGTCGAGTGTTTGTATTTATATAGAAATAATAAATCAAATCATTAAAATAAATTGCGTTCTCAAAAAAGTGACATATTATGGAAACTCGTAGAGTTGAAAATTGAAAGTTTAGATCAAGTTATTGAACCTATACGTTCTTTTATGTTTTATTATGAAATTTGAAAAGATGTATTTAACTATAAAATGGTCAAAAATATACATGGATCCAAAAAGAAAAAAAATGATTGTTTTGATGGTGCCAAATGTCAAGATAACCTTAACATTTTGAAAGTAAATTTAATTAAGATAGAGAAAATGTCTTATATATCAAAACTTTTGTAATGCAATTCAGAAGCAAACCAAAGTTTACACAATCCTATGGAGTTTATACGATCCTATGAATTATCTTTACAAATAGATCAAACATATTTTGAAATGAGCCAACATTTCATGTTATGGTTCATGTCATGTTGAAATCGGTATGGTTATGAACGAATATTATTACAGTGGCTGTACATACGCACCCGAAACTGTCTTTGTCGTTGACGGTAGCGTCTTAACATATTACGGTTTCTGGAATCATCTCTATCATTACCTTCCACAACTATGCACGTGAGCGTTAAGATCACCAGTAACAATGTTCCTTTTGATGATGACGTCATCTTCAATGAAAGATTATACACAATATCAAATTATTGTAAAATTGGTTAAAGTAGCACGCCTCAAGATTGTAACAAAGTTTCAATATTTTTTTGAAAATACATAAAGAGACTACCAAATGTATAATTGTATGTTATCTGTTATAAGCGCAACAAGGTTAAATCTACTATTTCTGTCATCGTTCATCGTTTTTATATGACCGTAATTAACGGATTGGTATTTGCCCTACTTTTTCGTCCAATGGGAATGCATAAAATTGTAATTTCTGACAGTCAATGACAAAGTGTTTTTCCCCTAAAATCAGCTCTTATTTTTGGTATGTGATCAATAGAATATTTTATTTGGTGTTTTTCAAGGTTCATCGCACAAGCAAGTCCTAAATAAACAAACAGAATGCGTAGGATTTGTAGTTCACCTATTTTCGGAATTTGTTTCTATTTTAAAAACTGTTGATGTGAAACAATACGCCTTTCGAGTTTATTCATGTATTTTTGAGAGAAGGAATGCTTTCAGAATCTGTCATTTACAAATGATGTCTGTTTTACGTAACGTTGCTTTGATATTTTTTTGGGGGGGGGGGGGGTCGGCTGGTACTATATGTACCGTAAAGACATTTAAGGTCCATAAATTTAAGAAGTAAATTGTAAATAAAGTACTATCTTATTCTTATTCAAAATAGTAGATCACTATATTAGACGGTTAAGGTAACTGGACAATGAGTAGCTTTTTAAAATTTACAACAGGGCACACAAAATAAAAGCTTTTGAGAAGTAAATATAAAATCATTCCTGTGGCAAAATGGGCCATTAACGTTTAGTTTCTAATAACAGACTTTTAAATTTAGTACCATTCTTTATAACGTTTGTTTCAATCATATTACCAGGTTAATAGCCCTTTAATGACGTCATATACCAACAAAGTCTATGGACATGGCCAATGTGATATTCACCGTAGCCGATAACGATTTTTTTTCCGGTATCTTTTTCACGTTCTTATAGATGCTCAAATTTGATATTAAAAATATTGACATTTTCTACACAGTCTCTTTGTGAATATAAAATAAATATGTTATGACTTCTGACAAAGTAGATATGTTATGTTTAAAATTCTACACATTAAAGGTGGTTACAATATGAATATACATGTAGAGTGTCATTAAAAAAACTTGCACATTTTTTAAAAGGACCAACTTTACTTGACTTGTAATAGGAAATAAAACTTCACATTAAAGCCTATTCATTCTATTAGTCAAATTAGACATATTCAGATTTCAATAACTTTCTGTGATTTAAATATTTTACTCAATGATGAGCATAGTATATCCATAATAAGAGAACAGAAAATACAGTCGTCATTTGTAACCCTTTCTAAAGCATGTTCATAAGATATCGAAGTAAAGTGCTTTTGATTGTAATTATAGTAAAACTTTAACTGCTTAATGTTTTCAATCTACAATTATATCGTATTTTATTGATTCTGACATTTTTCGTTACTTTCGCCTTTACATATTTCTGTTTGCCTAATTGACAACGATCTTTGTTGCTCGTTTTCAACGGACATTGGCGCAATGTCCACGAACTAAAGATGAATGCGTTAGATATAGTTTAAACCACACATTAAATATTATTTTCTGTAAGCATGTTATTATGAGAAACATAAAAACAAAATTTGATTACTTTGTTAAAACTCCTATTTCTACGAAAATAACTAGGCCTTACAATGATAACTAAAACTAGAACAGACACATCCATGCTTTTTAACTGGGCAAAGCATTTTAAAGACATGTTTTAAAATATGTGCTGACTGAAAAGCAAACTGTGCAGACCATGATGAGATGACACGGGTATGTCGACTTGGGTCGACTTGGTCTGCACTGGTTACATTATATGATATAATCAGTTGCCGCCATCTTAGGGTTAAAAATCAGCAAACGAAACCAAAGGCTACATCAGCAAGAATAAACGTACAAAATAGTTTGAAATTTTTTAAATAATTTCTTTGCGGTCTCACAATTGTAATTAAGTAGCACATATTCACTATTTTAGAAACATAAAATAATTATTACGTCACAAAAAAATAAGTATTACTTCTTCGGAATGAGGACAGTAAACATTTTTTATCTTATTCCAATAGGCTTAAAAACCCATGAGGACACAAAACATGCAAAATAACGAACATTGTATGACATAAACATATATACATAATATCAACAATCATCAAATGTTTGGAGATGATAAATTTTGATTGATAAAGAAATCACCAGTCAAATGTTTAGTAGTTACATAATAATTATTTTCATAGCAAAATTAATCTATAAACCACTAACTTTTAGGTATCTTTACTAGATATCAAAACTTTACAATCAACACTGTCTCTCTAGACAGTATCACAATTTAAACTGATATAAATTACACACACTGCTTAAGAATGTTTACTTTTAGTGATAACAATCTTCATACAATTCGTAATTTATCCATCGAGTGATATGTTATGTTATACAATTAAATTTACAGTTGCATTGCACAAATTATCAAGAGGGTAGGTTAAAATGAATAAAGCTTTATCCAATGAAATAATTTCATAAAATTGGTACAATTGGTACAATTATGTTGTTTCCATTATCTTATACTCGATTATCGAAAAAGTTGTATCATAGAATGTCTCTCTTTTTAACACATAGATGATATTGAATGAGTGTAGGTTCAATACTGAATTTATTGAACGAGTTAAGATAAATTAAGTTAAATTATATCATAATTATTAAATCATATTATACGAGCGTCTATGCTGCTATTTTAGTAGGCTTTTAACCCATTACTTCATATACACGCCTTTTAACGCCTTTTTCACCCCCCCCCCTTTTTGTTGTCTCAAATGATGAAAAAATGCCTTATTTAGGCCCCAAACACTTGTTTTTGTTTGAGAAATGTTGTTAAAAAAAGTGACCTCTTTTTCGGCGCGGCCCCCCAACCAAAAGATACATCAGGGGGTTGCCAGAAGGGGAATGTGCCCCCTTCTGTTTTGGGGGTTTTGAAGGGGGGCGGAGTCCCCCTCATCGCCAAGAAAATTTTGGACTTGTGAGAGGCTGTAAATGACCCCAGATTGATCATAAGGTAACGTGTAACCAACGCTGAAATGCATTTGACTCTATCTCAATCCATTGAGAAGTTGCAGCACTTTGAAATCAATTTTGATGGAAAAAATCAACGCAAAATAGTGATTTTTGGCAATTTTGAGATGTCCCCTCGTTGCCATGGTAACAAAAAATTTAAGCCTGAGCATGTTGTTGCAAGGACAATGGTCCAGTCAACATTTGTGCCAAGTTTGATTAGTGTTGAAGCAGTTTTTATAGTATTATAGCAATTTGAACTTGTAACGGGAAACTTTTCAATGAAAACAGCCATTTTTCACAAAATGCTCATGAAGTAATGGGTTAATGAAAAAAATAAAAAAATCTACAAAACAACAATTTTTCTTCAAATTTATATGACAGGCCGTGTTTAAACAGGAAAAAACGCGATTTAGGGTAATTTCAAGTATTTTCATCATTTTCAGTTAACCCATTACTTCATATACACGCCTTTTAACGCCTTTTTCACCCCCCCCCCTTTTTGTTGTCTCAAATGATGAAAAAATACCTTATTTAGGCCCCAAACACTTGTTTTTGTTTGAGAAATGTTGTTAAAAAAAGTGACCTCTTTTTCGGCGCGGCCCCCCAACCAAAAGATACATCAGGGGTTGCCAGAAGGGGGATGTGCCCCCTTCTGTTTGGGGGGTTTGAAGGGGGGGCGGAGTCCCCCTCATCGCCAAGAAAAATTTTGGACTTGTGAGAGGCTGTAAATGACCCCAGATTGATCATAAGGTAACGTGTAACCAACGCTGAAAAGCATTTGACTCTATCTCAATCCATTGAGAAAGTGCAGCACTTTGAAATCAATTTTGATGGAAAAAATCAACGCAAAATAGTGATTTTTGGCAATTTTGAGATGTCCCCTCGTTGCCATGGTAACAGAAAATTTAAGCCTGAGCATGTTGTTGCAAGTGCAATTGTCCAGTCAACATTTGTGCCAAGTTTGATTAGTGTTGAAGCAGTTTTTATAGTATTATAGCAATTTGAACTTGTAACGGGAGACTTTTCAATGAAAACAGCCATTTTTCACAAAATGCTCATGAAGTAATGGGTTAATGTTTAAGCTAGAATTTCGTGAATGCACCATTCGCTCTAAGAGAAATATACAAACATATTTCTTTCATATATGATTTAAAAAATCTGCTATTTTTTTCAATATTCATGCAATCATGTTGTAAATTATTTACTTTTAAGTTTTAAAGGTAAAGTATCGCATTTTTTAATCAAATGGAAATATATCACTAAAACTAAAAGTCATATTATCATTTTTTATCATTTATTTTGAATAAAAAAAATTGAATTTACAACAGAATTTAAACGTTTTAGTAATATTGAAGTATATGGATATGACATAAACGAAATGAAAATATTGATCATGAATGGTTTTTCATTATATACATGTATCTTAGACTGTTAAATACCACTATAAGCATCTAAATGATATTCTTTATTATTATTTTTTATTTTTATTTACTGTGCTCTTTTTTTGTAGTATTATGGAAGTTCGATTTGTCATTATATAATATTTGTAAATAAATTACCAAACGTCTGAACTTAAATTTGCTGCATTTTCAACATTGAAGATAAGTTTTCTGTTTTCTGCCAATACAAGTTAAACATTATTCAATGAATTAAATATACAGTAAATGTACGTATAAGAAAAAAAAACATTAAAAATCTGATATATAGACACCTTAAACGGTCCGTTGCTTTCTCGTTTTTTTTTATTGTTTTTTTTTTATTTTATTTTTATTTCAACATTGCGATAAGGTTAAATTATTTATGATCAAATATATAATCTATGTTTTCTAGAACCTTGTTACATTTGTTTAAAACTGAAAAAGGTGAATAGTGGAAAACAACTTTTATTTTAATGAATGATATAATATTAAGGTGTAGTAATAAGAAAAAATTTATAATGTAAAACAACCACTTGTTTGTATAATGTTTCTTAATTTTAAAGAAGACATGTTAAAATTGTATCAGTATTCTGTTTTGATATCTTGTATTAAAAAAAAAATTTTTTATAGATCTTGTTAAGAGAATTTTCTGTGAAATTTACATCCGGTTTGCAGCGTTTCAGCACGCGCTTTTATCGGCTTTTAAGACGTATGTATTACCAGAAACTGCGCTCTTTCATGTTGAGCGTGCAAAAAGCGCTGCATGCAAATATTGATATCAGTAACATCAACATGTAATATCCTCGCTTCGGAATTCTAAATAATAAAACAAACAAATGCATACCTTTTTACAAAACTTGGTTTTTCCCAATCTCTTTTATTCCTTTTAGTAGAAAAACGCAACAATCGTTCTTTCCCCTACTTGACACTTAAATGCCTATTGCAAGACTGTTAAGAAAAAAAATTGCTCCATTCAAGAATTGATTGACGAATCGAGGTATTATTACGCTTGGCATATCCTTTGTTTTTTCATAAGTAATTGGAAAGGTCATGTTTCTATATGTCAGAAAGTCGTTAATATTGGTTCCTATACCGAACAGAAGTTAATAGCATGTTCAATATAGTTTTTTCTCGTCGCTTTAAACCTATTCCCGGATGATATGTTCTTAACGAGCATCTCAATGGGCGGTGAATAGGGCTGTTGCCATAGTGGCTGTTTTGTCGTAACGTGTTACCAGTAATTATAAGCATAACTTATGGGGGCATACTAGCAAGCTTACAGTGTCAGCTGTCAAATGATGCTTTGTTTGATTTCTACTTTATATCACATGTAATGTCTGTTTGCTTTGCTAGATCAAATACATACATTAAATGAATTAGTAAAAACAAACTGACGAACATACGAGCGAACAACGAGCGAACGATTGAGTTAGTGAAAATAAATAATAACAATAATAATAATGATAATAATAAAGATAAATTATAATAATAAAAATAATCATAATGATAATATTCATATGAATAAAAATATATCGAGCGTAAGTTTATCTTGGAGCCAGCATAAACTTTAGTATGGCTAAAAGATAGTATCTATTATATGTTTGTCATATTTGGTAAACGGTAAAAGGGACCGAGTAAGAGTACACTTTGCATATTTAGCCCCGCCTATAAATAAAGCACGAATTTCTTATAAAGCGTTATCATCATGATTAAAATAGACTAAAAATCAGTGGAAATTATCAGTGTTACTGTATGTAAGTGCATATGCTTAATCCTCCTAATAAATTTATGCATATGTCTAGAAAATGGAAACAGGCTTTAAACTTCAGGACATACAACTGTAGAATAATGGTTTTTCATTCATATGCCTAATAATTTAATCAGCAGATGAACCTTTGTTAGGATATCAAGTAAGATGATTATAGGATCATCTGAATGCACTTGTACACAATGTATACTTATGTTCATGAAAATTTTTTT